ATCTAAATCTTTAACTTGGTCAATTTTTTCCTTCATGTCAGCATCTTCAGTTAATTTTATAAGTTTTTCTAAATCGATATAAGCTAAAGCTTCCTGAAATGAATGAGTCACTTTTTCTATAGTTTCAACAAAGCTGAATACGCCACCAGGTTGAATAACAATTTTGCCAACGCTTAAAGATAATTCTATAACGGCGACTAACAATTTTTTTTGTGCATCATGTCTTTGTTGAATCAACCAATTTATAATTCCTTTTTCGAGTTCATGGAATGTACTTTCTGTGTATTTTCGTCTTTCCTATTATTATTTTATAGAAAATTTTTAATATATGTATGAATGTTTTTTGAAAATTATTTCTATAAAACGTGTATACATACTTGAAGCTCACTTTCAATTTTTTTCATTAATTCACATGCTGATTCATACCGAATTTTTCTATCATTATTTAAATCTTCATGCATTTCGGCTTTATCATTACGATCCATTAATGATGCATATAGCACTTCTGTTTGTTGCTCATCATTTAGGACCTTTGTAAATTTTTCTTCATAATCTTTTGCAGATTTCATATATTTATCAATTCGCTTTTTGTAAATATGCATGTCAAGCGGCGGAACAAATTGAATGTTATCTGCTTTTCTTTTATCTATGATATTAAATTTCGTGAATATTGTTAATGCATAATAATATAACTCTTTTGTCTCTTCACATTCAGATTTTCTTGTTATTCTAATAATCCAAGAGAGAATTGATCGTGTAATTCCAGGTTTTTCATAAAATAAGGCAATTGCGATATTTAAAGAGTATCGTAAAATTTTAAAGAATGATTTATTCTTAAGAATAATATTATCAAAAGTATAAATATCTTTATATTCCGGGCTCTTATCATTGTGTATAGTAAGTAGCTTGCCAACATTTTTTGAGTCTTTAATTTCGAGTTTATATGAATCATTATTTGTGATAATTTCAAGTTCAGATGTCATTTCTATAGCATATATTATTATTCGGATGAATTTTTTGCAATTAATAACTATTTGGCATTTCGATCCAATTTCAATTCGTCTCGCTACTATCAAGATAGCTCCACTTTCATTCAAAAGTGAAATTGTTAAAGTCTTTGAGAGTTGAACTACATCCGCATATATTCGGAAGATTCGAGTTTTGGGTTTTATATCAATATTTGAAAAATGTTGGTAAAGGTCGACGAACAAATCACATCCAGAAATCTTTGTGGTAAAAAAATTTAAAACAATAATGAAAGATTTAAATTAAAAAAATTGGGTGTAAATCATTATCAAAAGTAATATGTAAACGGTAAGCCAAAAAAGGCTTTTTCACGAAATAATTTATCTAAGAACTTGTCATTTCGTGAAAATTTTAATTAATATCTTTTGTAAATTAACAGCATAATAAAGTTTAAATAAACTTTGTATATTGTTTTACTTCAGATTTAATTATAACCTCCTTCGTGTATATCAATACCTCTATATCCTCTATGTCTGTCTGCCGCAATTCTGGCTCTAACTTTGGTACATTAATATTAAAAAAACTTAAAATGTTATATGTTTCCTTCCAGTTGATCAATTGAGACATTTTAAATTATGATTTTACAATGTACTGTACATATGTATGATGTTGGAATTCTAAAAACCCCAATCACTTTATTTAATAGCGGTGGCTTATTTAGTGGTACACACTACTGAATCAAGTTTCATAGACAGACCTTCGTATGATTGGCTAATGCAAATCAATTGCCCAAATCAAGTAAACTATTTATATCTATACAATCGCTATGTTTATTCAACTAAAGTTATTATCATCAAGACTAGATAGCTGCGGAAGACCTAAAAAAAGAAACCCCAGCTAATTATTAGCTGATTGGCTAGACAAAATCATATATGAGAGCTTGTGTCTAAGTCATTACCCGTCAACAAATTAGTTTTTTTAAAATTGAGTCGGCCAATATGTGTATTGGATTCCATACTAATATGGATTCTTACAACAAACCACAACCGTTGTTCACATGATGCAAGACCCACTCACAAGCTTTTACAATATAGATATTATTAGGAATTACGTAATCATAGTTCTAAATTAAGCAGTTAATTATTGTATACTTCTGTACTGTACTAGTACGTACCTGACCTCATGTGCTCAATTAGGAGGAACGCTAAATCCAGGTTCGGTTAGGATTAGATTTTCTGATGTGTTTAGGGATATTAGTTTATATAGATATCAAGAACATAATTTATGTAATTTGTAAATAATTGTGTAAACGGACCCCTCAATTAATGGTTGAACCTATGCATCTAAACCTGATTGCTTCCGGATATTCTTTCTTATCTATGTTAGCCTAAAGAAATATTATCTGCACCTACACAAAAATTTGCGTTTATGTTTATTTCATCTTGCAGTGTAGTTCAAACGGCAAGATTATATTTCTCACACTTAAACCGATCCATGTGACGATTAACATTGTGAAATTTAAGTGCATTTGATGCATTATCCAATCATTTACGAGTTTTTGCGGACGAACTTCATTTAAATTGCCGTATAGCCATACACTACGTGATTTCATCTTGCTTATTCAGTTGTGTATTGCAAAAATATTAAGTTGAAGTCTTGATAATTACAGCTTGCTTTACTATGAAAAGATAAAAATGCTACACTCACCTCACCATAATTATTAAAAGGAATATATACATGAAAATTATCAAAATTTATCGTTACTTATTAAACTACATTTGCACATATCACTTGAACAACGTCGTACAATGCATCGATGCTAAACTTTATTACTTATCGAAGAACATACAGTATAAATAACAATAAGATTTGTAATTCGGCCCGAAGCCCCATTATAACACATATATACTTTAGATATCAAACAACAGACTATTTTTAAAAATGAGTGAAAATTATGATTTTTTTTTAAGAAGTATGTCGAATCTGCATTTTTTTTTATAATTTATAAACTATATTAACTTATTTTACTTTTAGTCGGTGTGGATGGCAAAAGAAGCGTTGGTAAATCCAACCTTATCTCTAAATTTGCGCGAGATGACTTTTATAATGGTGTATATAAAGATACTTTACATGTATATACCACAACCACACTTATTCGGTTAAATAATTACACTATCAAAGTCGAATTTTTGGAAACTGGTATTAACAAAGTTATTCTTATAATTAACATACAGTGATGAATCAGTAGAAACGCACTAAATCTTTTTGAATAAAAAATTTTTAGCTTTTAAACAAAAGTAACAAAATATTAATCAATGATCTTTGTTCAAATTTTAAAAAAATTGCTTAGTAAGAAAATTTTAGTGTATCTTTACTGACTCACTCACATATCATAATCTAACATTTTTGAGTAACGGAAAGAGAAAACTTGTAAATTATTTCACAAAATTTATTTTATCGTTCTGAGCCCATAAAAAATCAGTTTTTATACATATTTAATTACATTGTATTATTTTTACAAGGGCTAAATCTGAAGAATTGAAACTAGAGATGCAAAATGGCTTGACCAGTTTGTATATTAAATACATGAAAACCAATAAAGCCGATAAACTGATTGGCATCTCTAGGTGAAATAATTCACAGGTTTACCGTCACTCATATTCACTATGAGTTGGATTTTATAGTCACTAAGTGTTAAATGTTTGACGTTATAATTTTATGGCACATGAGTTATTATTTTAATCAATATCGAATGATAATAATTAATATGCTGTAAAATAGTAAATGTAATAATTACAAATCCAATTTACAGTAAAACAGTAAAATTTTTAGAATTACTGATATATTTTTTTTCCTTGTAATTTTGTAGGATGGAATCTCAGGCCAAATAAAAAGTGAGTTAATATAATTTTGTGTTATGCATTTTTTGTATATGTTGTACATGATAATGTTTTTTTTTATGTATAAATATTATAGTTATTATAGTTATATTGACGGCGCTATACTTGTTTACGATATTTCTGAAGATAATGGATTAAACGAAATGAAAGAACTATTATGTGAATATAGTAGCAATGAAATTCCTATTATGATTATTGCCAATAAATGTGACAGAAATGAGCATAAAAATAGAGACGACCTTTTAAAAGAAGTTAAATATTATTTTGGTAATGCAACTTAAATAGTTTTATATAAAGTTATAATTGTAATGATTAATTAATACCAACTGCATATCTTAGGAGAGGAATTAAATATCTTAGGAAAAGAGTTTTTATTTGATAAAACCTCAGTTAGGGAAAAGACTAGTGCTAGTCTCAATAAAATCTTAGAAGGTATTTTATATTATTAGTTCCGGTATAGTAAGCTGCATTATTTTAATTAATACATGTATACCAATTTAGAATGCATAAATAGATTTTCGGAGTTTCGAGGTAAAATTTTAAAAATACATTCAATTCCTTTATTAAAGTAATAATCAATACGTGTATATATATATTGTATATATATTTTGTAATTTAGAAATCAAAGGTCTGAAAGAATTGACCTCTCCAAGTAACCAATTCAAATCTATGACGCAATATGCAATGCGGTTATATTCATTTGAGATCCCGAGTTATAATAGTCGAGAACAAATAGAAGGATTGACAAGTGAAGAAATAACCCCATTTTTATGTCTTGTATGTACCAATATGAAATTCATTTGCGTTCCATTAATTATATAAATAAATAACATTCTTTTTATTAATTACATGTATTAATAGTCTGTGAGTACAACTTTTGATGATAATATATTTATTAAGTCGAGATTCCATAATAAATAAACTACATAAATCATCTACTTTCATAATTTGTTAGAAAGTAAGCGTGAATTCTCATCAATATACCTTTAATAAATCAATGTATAATTATAATTGATTTTTTAATTGTATCAATTCTCAGTTCGTGAGTATAAATTTCAATGATAATTATTTATTAAATTATAATTTTATAATGAATTAATAAATACTTCAATCGATTACATTAATTGCAGGAAGTGAGTATAAATTTCATTGAAATTTATTTATTAAATTAACAAATATAATTTTATAATGAATTAATCAATACTCCAATTGATTACATAAATTACAGAGCGTGAGTATAAATTTCAATGATATTTATTTATTAATTATAAGTTTATAATGAATTAATCAATACTCCAATCGATTACAGGATGTGAGTATAAATTTCAATGATATTTATTTATTAAATAATAATTTTATAATGAATTAATCAATACTCCAATCGATTACATAAATTACAGAAAGTAAGTATAAATTTCAATGATATTTATTTATTAAATTATAATTTTATAATGAATTAATCAATACTCCAATCGATTACATA